TTTGAGCCATCCAAGCCAATCCCTAGAGTCACGTTTAGGAAAGGGAAGATTGCATAATATTGCGTGCACGCGGTACCACTACCGACATTTGGGTTTGCTAGTTAGTCACTTACTTCGTATCTTCTACGGTTGCTCCGTTGTAGGGCTATGCATATAAAAGGTGGATTTTGTACTGAAAATTATTAAAGTGACATGGAAGAGCAAAGTGTCATGAATAGACTGTTTATAGTCATGCAACATTCTCGTTTAATCGGAATACCAATCGGCTCCACAAGTCACTCGGGCTCATGAAAAATTAAACATATAAATTGGTGTGTCTTCTTTCTACCTTAATACCTGTCAGTAAGTGGTGAGGTAGAAATAAAAGTTGTTACACTTCTGCAGATGTCGAAAATTTGAATTAAAATCTACATTCTTCTCTAATTTTGTGGTGTAACTTGTACCTGTATTGTTCAGACTCGTTTAATTACGCTAATCAGAAAGCACGCCTGCAAGGCTATTGTGGATCTTTAATCTTAAAGAAATTGCTGTACTTCCTTTTTTTCTACAACAAAATAGATACTTTCGGTATTCGTGGTTAAACAGTTTGCAGTAAAGAAATATTTTAGAGCTCAGCTCTTGTCGCCCGTTTCCGGCTTGAGCGGCGTCGGCGTCGAACTGGCGTCGGCGTAACCGCAACCCCCCCCCCCCCCCCCCGAGGACCTCGGGAGGACCTCGGGTACCTTCGGTGACCTCGGGGAGGGGGCGGTGGTCACGTGACCACCCTTCCTGAGGTCACGTGACCCCCTCCTCGAGGTCACGTGACCCCCTCTCCCCAAGGTCACGTGACCCCCCCTCCCCAAGGCCAAATTACCCCCCTCAGTACCCTTCCTTCCTCCTCCTCAAGAGCTGCGCTCTAATTCGGCGTTGCAGGGAGTTGTAAACGGCTTTCACTTCTTTTTTATGTTACAAAACGAACAAAAAGATAATGTTTGAATGGAGCGTACAATAATCAGAACGTCTTGGCGTAAGAAGTTTTTATGCAAGTATAGTAAAGCGGTGACGTTCAAGCTAAAATATGTTATGTCTGGTTGTTTTTCAGGTTGAAGTCGGTGATCGCCTATCGTTCGTCATTGGGAAGTTGAACTACACAAACTTGGGAATACCTGTTACCATGGACACAGATGCTGGTGCCCATAATATCACGTCCAGAAATGTTACGGACCTCAATGTGGAGTGACGAACCCAAAAATATTTTGTCGAAGTACTTTTTTTGTGAGGAGACCATTTCGGATTTATTAAATAAACAAAAGGTCATTTCTTGTACATTACTTGTTTTTGGTGAGGAGGTATTTTACCGCTAGTATTTTCCGAAAAATAATGCATTGTCAGTGCGGATCACTCTCGAAGTTTTTTTGTTCTACATCAACATACATCGCGCGATCTTCGTTTGAGAGTTTACGTGAAAAGAAAATACTGCAACTGAATTATATCTCTACGGACGCCTAACATAACAGTCGATATGTCATTTTAACAAGTAATTTGGACTGGGTGAAAATCGCCATGAACGAATGGGAACTCCTAATTTTAACAGGCTCTCCAATAAATAGTTATTTATTTTTTATCTCCTACTTATGCCTGTGAAAAGAAGATTTGGGAACGGTGAAAACCGCGAAATGTCTACTCTGTCTAACATAAAATTCAACCTATATAAAATCATTTCCCGCGCATCGACCACAGTATAAAGTGACCCGATGCTTATGGATGTCGTGTATTTTCCAAACGCTAACACGACACTTCAGCAACAACGAAAACATGTTTGGGTGCCTCGATGATGTGTACATGTAAAAGGGTTCATACAACAGTTTTTGCACTTTCAGTGAATACCGCTAAGAAGTAACCCCTGAAATTGATAACTTGCAAAAACACCCATTAGTTTTCCTTTCCGCTCAATGGCAGACGCAGAAAAAAATAAAGAAAATATACAACTTTCCCCTGCTAAACTTGATATTAGACGATGATGTAACCAGACGCTAACTGTATACCGCCAGTGTTCATAGTCATGCGCTGGGGTTAGCAAAGAATAATGCATGGGTTGAACTTCATACATTGTTAGAGTTCGGCTATCGTCATCTTTGATTGAACACGAGGAAACACGAATGTTTGGTGAAGCAGATGGTCAAGAACCCGAGCACTCGACTCGGGCTCATGACAATCGAGTACGTCTCGGTGTCACATGACCCGCGGTTTGAAGTCATGATAGCATGTGACGTCACTGTGCCAGCAACGCTAATACATCTATAGTCCGTTGCAACTCAAGAAGGTAGAACGAAAGAAAGGAAGGCCGAAGAGGAAGCAGCAGACTGAACGCTGGAGAAAAGAGAGGAGACCTCGCCATCTCTCCAGCGTTCTGGCTGCTTCCTCCTCCCCGGCCTTTCTTTCCCTCGTCCAACCTTCCTGAGTTGCAGCGGACTATATTGACGTTCTGAATTTAAATCGACTTGACGCCGTAAGTCATGCGACTGCGTCGCGGGGCACGTGACTCGACATTGTTTGACAGCATGTCTTGACACCATGTCAGGTGACCACATGGCACAAGATTAATCGTAGTGCCAATACAAAAGCGCGATGAAAACCCAGAATTTCTCATCCATTGCAATTCGGTATGTGACAATTTGATCACTGCATAGAAACACAGCTGCTAGCGTTTACTCTCAAACACTCATTTTGTGATAAAAAAAAATTACCGTGAACCACTTACCGTTATATTTTTTTCCGTTTCAGTTTCAAGATGGCGGCGAAGATTTCGGCTCGGTTCACTTCCGGTTCGGCTAAAAATAACGGTTCGGTTCCGGTTTTCGGTTCGGTTCGGTTCCGGTTCGACACCCTGCACTGTGCGATCGACCGCGACTCAAAATATCGCCCCGGCATTAGCACCCGCCACAAATTCGCGGGTAAATTGGAGGTATGGTTGTCACATGAACTGTTCCAAGAGAGCTCGTTACTCTAGCCGAGGGCAACGTTGCGGCGGTGGACGTTCATACGAAGATGGTTGGTTTTACAGCAGACGAATCTTAGCCAGCAGACGAATGCCGGTTCCTTGACGAAAGTGACAAACACGCTTCCGTGACGTGATGTCACCCGCCTCGCTCCGACTCTCTTACTGGGTGGCGACGGCCGTAGCCTCCACAGTTCGCCAGGTTATCGTGTATACTCTGTCCTGCGATATACACAATCGTGTACATCGTGCAAACGATATACACGTTTGTTTATCGTTTGCACGATGTGCAAACGTGTATACTCCGCGTGCGCCAAACGCGCCCCGCCACTCGACTTGGTCGTCTGCGTCCCCATCCGCCGTTAACGCTGGCAAATCTTTTGGCCCCATTTTGTTACCGAGAGGGACCTACGCTTTGTAATTTTACAAAATAAAACCGACCTGTGAAATACGTGTTTTGACGAACATTTTAGATTGCTCCGCGCAGGCACCGATTTTCACGGTCCATATATGATCAAGCGAAATGCCCCCCAAGAAATATATATCATGGTGTTAGATGACCTCCATAATATTTCTTGTCAACCACTGAGTATTATATTCTTGAAATTTTTCAATAGGATTGCAATTTCAATAGGCTTAGTACATTAGTGTTCACGGGTGTGAGAGAGAGAAATTACCCTTCGTAGGATTTAAGAGTGACTTCGAGTTGGAAAATGGAACAAAAGCAACTGCTTCTTAAGCTTTTTTTTTTTCTTTGTAGGGTTCCCAAGAAACTATAAGCGCACCCTCCCCCCCCCCCCCCCCCCCCCCCCCCCGTTCTTATTCCCGCTCAAGGTTTGTGAGCGAGGAGAGTGGGCCAGCTTCCACAGCCCCTCCTACTCCTCAGGCTCTGACAGAGATCATTATTTTAAACTTTCGGCCCGGCTGACGGGAGCAGAAAAACTTTACCGTTGACCGTCACAGGCAACATCACTACATTCTCCCAGATTGTACCGAGCGGCGCTTTGCACGCTATTTTGAACCACCCTTTATTTTAAATGTAGTTTCTAAAACTGTAATCAAAAATTTCACACGGCCTTTTCGAATGAAATTGGTAGCCAGACCGTGAGTCCAACAATTACTCTATTACCGAGTAATGAGATAAAAAATTCATAATAGCTTCCTATTACGATGTAAAAAAAAATTGACAAGCAGCTTGACTAGTCCCCAGCCCCTCCCCCCCCCCCCCTCCCCACCCCCACGTATTCAGCAGTTGCAAAAAATGTGCACAAATATTATAATATAAATACATAGCAAATAATAAAGTAAAGCAATGAAAGAAAAAAAAATCTACTGAATAATGAACAACCGTAGGAAATGTTTATTTTGATTAAAAATATATTCCATAATTTCACCTGTTCTACGTTATTTCATATCAAACTTAAAGCACACAAGCGTATTTAGTGATGACGGCAAGGTCCTTTTAATCATCTGAAGACCATAATCTCTTCTTGATGCTTCCACCATTCAGGAATCAGAGTGACGAGTCTGGTCTCTTCTAGGTTTGCTTCTAATTGATGGCAAAAATAATAAAAAGCTATTTCTTTCGCGACATTCTTGTTCATACTTCGTACCAAATCGGAATGTACATTATTTTAACATCTTTAGAACATCCATCCTCTCAAAAAGTTGGTTAGTATGATCACTAAAGAGCCCACCTCAGACAATTAACATTATTATTTCGTGAACTACGAATAGTTTTTGGAGATCAGCTTTGGTTGTCGTACCCCAGACTAGAATAACGTACTTCAGATAGGACACAAATTATGGAGCTATATAAAAGCAACTTAACTCCAGTTGGAAAAACATGGCGATGTCCGTGTAATATACCTCTGACACACGCGAGTATGGGAATGATATAATTCACACGTTCAGTTCATTTCCTTCGTGAAATTAACTTTGAAAGTTTTGAACGTTCGAACAATATCAGTAGGCGGTGAGTCTTATCTAAATATCACTGCGAAGGTCAAGATTCCTTTTTTTTAAGGTAAAAAAATATGCCTTTTTTATTTTTTTATTTATTAGGAGGTTATTTGCACTAATTGGCATTTGGATACATTTGGTTGCGTCATTAGTTACATGCGACAGCTCATTACAAGTTTTAGCTGAAAAAAGTGGTGTAAGCAATTGAATAACTACAACTTTAAAAAAAAATTAAACTCGCTTGCGAACAATGCATCATGATGAACAATACATGTTAGGGTTATACGTTCGCCGCTATTGCTGTTATCCTCATAGAGGTGGCGAAATCCAATTTTTTTTCTTCAGTCAAGATTTTTCAGCGTGGATAACAAACATATCGGCGTCATAATGTGGATCTCCGTCGTTGCTTTGCTTCCAGTGTGAGCGAATGACATTCTCCACATCATCTTTGTATCTTGCTCTTGACTCGACCGGAAGTAGTGGCAAAAACGGATGGACAGCGATATTCATTCCTAAAACAGAAAAAACAAAAACTTCAACGATTAACTGTTCAATTAACCCTGTAACAAATTGACCGTATTATTTTTTTTGGGGGGGGAGGGGGGTGGGGGGGGGGGACACTGCGACTCACAAAAAAATATACCGACTGTTTTTTAGTCTGTAGAGGGCAACTACAGCATACTAGAACACGGGGTAGTGTTTGGACCGGCGCGTCTCGACAATGGCAACTTGTAAGGCTGCGCGTGCGGAAAACCATCGCGGCGGTGCAGTCGACAGGACAGCAGAAAGTCGCCGCAGTCCGCACATGCCACCGCACGTGTGTGGGCACGCGGTGCACGCGCACGACCACCACCATATTGAACTTACTTCAGATGCGCCGGTGTCGACACCTATCGCGATCTACACCACACGCTTCACGCGAGCCGGGCCAGTCACAACACTACCCCGAATTCCAGTACACTGTTAGAGCAACGACACACTTACATAATGGAAATCGTCCTACGAAAAGCACATTTTTCCTATAGAAGATGAAGAAAAATGAAAATACTAAAAAAAATATACTAGTAGAAGATAAAAATAAATATAGCGCCAATTTTAACACCTGAAATAAAGAGATGAAATTTGAAGGCTTTTTCTATAGTCCGTTCACCCTCAAGGTGCAACCCCACTGTGGAGGCCGTTCTGCTGATTTGTTTCCGGTTTATAGCTTTTTATCTATGCATTCTTCAATCATAATAATAATGTCCAATGAAAGAACTGCTTTGTGACTATACCTTAATGTCTCGATTTTGCGCTTATTCTTAGTTTTTAGTTTAATATTTAACATTTAATAGACTACAGTTTCTTAAATTGAACTTTGATCCTCTCGACTTACAACGTACGAATGTCCACGATGATTTACGTGAACGGTTTTTTGGTGTAATGAATTACAAAAGTAAGCAATGAACTGTACAAAAATATTACATTTTTAAATAACAAAATAAGGTTTAAAGCGGTTTTATTTCCTCGTGCTATAAAAACGAAATCACATCACCTAAGGAAAACAAAGAGACATTAAATTACAAAGCATATCTTGATATTATACATTTTCGAGGAACTCCATATCGATAGATTACACGGGAATTTCAGTATTCAATCACAAACTCTTCCCATTCAGTTACGGTAAGTTTCAGCTTTTGTTTTTGTATAGCTTGATTAGCATTTGTCGTCATGTAGCGCTTAAAACGCCACGTGAGAGACAGAAATGTCACCAAATGTGTGGGTGTCAAATACCTGGATGTCCGCAGTGATCGAGACAGAGTTGTAAAAACAACAAGTGCGAGGCTAAAAGTCAGTGTTGTTTAAAGTACATCTAAAAGGTACTTCAAGTAAAGTACAAAGTAATTGAGACCTGATGTACTTTAAGTAAAGTAGTAAGTACACTAGGTGTAATGTACTTAAAGTAAAGTACTATAAATACAATGTACTTTAAAGTTAAAGTACAAGTATTTTAACATAATCTTTCGTGATGTCCTTTAATTCCCCTATACAGTGATTTTTAACTGGTGTGCATTCCCCAGGGGTAATCAGGGGTGCAGACTTTTTTTCCAAAAACAGCGGCGAATATTTGATGAAGTCAAGTGGCCATAGAGTAATAATTTTCAGGAATGGAGCCAAATTCAGAAGTCCCTCCTCTGAATTTTTCGCCGCTTGCACTAGATTGTTGCGTCCAATAAGATTGAATGTACTAAGAGAAAGCATGACGTCAGCCCCGTAGCTTCCTCGAGCAATCCTCTCAAAGAGGAGTGTCCTCTATTTAAATAAAAAAAACAGTGAGTGTGAAGGCAAGCTGGTGAGAATTAATCATAATGTGACACCTGAGATTCCGGTGCGAAAAAATTAAGGAACTTTCAAGTACAAAGAAAAGACACAAGAGAATGTCTCAAAACATTGTGACGTTCTCCTTTGTTGTCTGTTTCTTCGGCTTGAAAGTTTAATTGTTCTGCACCACCGTTTCAGGTGTTACATTATGATTAATTTTTCTCTCATACAATTTTAAACCTCCTCGCTTGCGCTGACCGACCGAGAAGTAGCGATAGTTGAAAAAGCTACTGGAAAGCCGCCCCCAGAACAAGCGGACCGATGTGCCGTCTGCTCACGTCTCTGGTGAGACTAGAATATCCCTCCCAGTATTTCTTCGGAGTTGACAAAGCATCATTTTGTGATAAAAAGTTAACAAATCCAAATTTGTGGAATGTACTTTGAGGTGAAAAAGACGTACTTTCCTCGGAAAGTACCAGAAAAAAAAATACTTTAAGTAAAGTACAAGACAAAACTCTGAAAATATAATTCAAATGAAGTACAAGTTTCCTAAACCTACTTGAAGTAGTACTTTAAGTCCAATGTACTTAAAGTACTTCGCAACACTGCTGAGAATGGATATCTTGCAAATATCTAACGAAACCTTGGGGTTTCGCATGGTGGTGGGGCGTAGGGAGGGTTGTCCTTTCTTACTTTATCTTTTTCTCATATCTTTTTTAGTGTTTTTTTCTTCAATTACTCTCTGACCAATGTGATTTCTATAGCTTGATGGACAACATATAAATGCGTTGTTGCTCATAGACCTGTCAGTGTCTGTCCCTGGCCCATTTCAACGTCTTTACCCTGTCTGCGAGAAATCTACACTTTTAAGTACATCACAAATTCATTTAAATTCTATAAATTGTAATTCCATACATGTTAATGTTTTTTTTTTAAATCTGCTTAACACAAAATATGACATCAGAAAGCATATATCGGATTCTCTCAAAACAGGTGAAACAGAATTTTTATTATTAATAATATTAATTTATATGTTTACTTGCTCTCGTGAGGGAGACTAGAGACTCGTCTCGCAACCAAAGGGTTCTTTTTCTTACCTACCACTCTTTTCTAAAAAGAAATAAAGAAATTTAATTTAAAAAAAAATACACTTACGAATGGTATCCTCCAGGTCTTCAACAAGAGAAGAATTGGTTAGAATTCTACATGCATGAGGCTTCAAGTTCACAGTCTCGAGAATGTCCAGCATGTAAGAGATGAGACTAGTGTTGTCCTCAAGGTCATGACTGTCAGGAATAAACTTCTCGGAGATCTGGAACGTTGGTAAGGGTGCATGTATCCAAACTGCGACAACCGGGACAATACCAACTACGTCATTTTGGAAGTAAAAACGTTCGGGCTGTTGTACTATTCCCACTTGTCTCGTAAGAACACGTAGGACTAAGGAAAAGCATCCTGCGATGACGTCCCATGCAAGCCATGCATTGGAGGGCGTCAGTCTTCACCATTCTGCCCGGTAGGATGGGAACGAAAGGGCATCACTTTTCGGACGCCTGGCCTGCAGCACGTGCTTTTTGCCATCCAAGTTTGGCTTCTGCTTATATAACCATGACAATTTAAGAAAAAACGAGATATAGAATCCCCGACGACTGCTGGTTTATGGTAACCGTGTGGCGACATGTACTTTATGGACCCCATGTAATTGTCGGCGGAGGGAATATTTATCATTAATGGAATTTTGTGTCAGCTACAGGGAAGTCGCGAAATAGCATAATTGAAAATGTATGTCTAAGGCCTAAATTGTGTCCCAGCGCCATTTAAAAGGATCAAGTCACATGACCTGCGGTAGAAATATTTTTCTCTAACATGCAACTTACGTCACTGTAAAGCTGTGGTGGCGCACTGAGAATCTCGAGTGGCACCTGACGTGTCGCGTGACATACATACCTCATTAAAACCATAACAGGTGGCCACTTATTTTGGGTGCGAGGGCAAGAGTAAGCGGCTCAAGCTAAACTCACCACAAGGTCACAAGTGGAGAACGTTTGGACCTAAGGCAGGTCTTCGTCAGGATCCCTGACGAAGGCCTGCCTCAGGTCAAAATGTCGAATAAAACCCTCCTGGTTTATTTTCCATTGTTACCCTGCATCTCTTCCTTCTACGCCTTCTACCTCCAATATATATATATATATATATGTGTGTGTGTGTGTGTGTGTGTGTGTGAGTGTGTGTGTGTGTGCACCGCTATTCGTCGCGCGCTCTGAAACGTCAAATCAAGAGCTGCGCTCCGTCGCCGGCACTCTACCGTGGTCTTGCTACGGTGCGGACAACATCAACGTGATAGAGCAAGGTCCATGCAGGGTCTCCATGTAATATCATTGCTTTAGAACGGCATATAAATAGTTTTTTTAATTTTTTTTTGCGAAATGAGGTAAACCACGTGAAAAGAAACTGAGATGAACTAGAATGTGTGCTTATCACACTAGACTGGATTCCTGTAGCGCGACCACTTCGACATTAGTGGTCTCACGTAATACGACAGCTTAAATTATTATAAATTTTGGGAACAATGGGCGCACAGATATACTCCGAATTTCAACCAAAATTAGATAAGTTTCGGTTCCTAAATTTGGCTAATTAAAACAAAACAAAAAATTAAATAAAAAATATCGTTACCTCTTCATACGCTTTCCATCGGTCCATCTGGGCGATTGTCCTCCACACCTCGTAGCCCGTCCAACGAGCCACAAACAGAAGCAGGCACTCTCCTCCGGAAGTCATCAAGTCGGATATGTTTCTGAAGGCGGTCACGTAGTCCTTCGCAAAATGTAAAGTGTAGAAAGAATAGACGCGGTTGAACTGGCCGTACCTTTTGACCAGTCCGGACACGTCAATCGAGATATCATGGACCTGGTACTCGATCTGCGGATGGGCAAAGTTCTCTTTCGCGTAGGTCACCATGCTTTCGCCGATGTCCGTTGCCACGATCCTCCTACAGGGCTGGCAGCGTTGCAGGAGTTCTTGGCGAGTGAAGTCGCCGGTACCACATCCTATGTCTATAAACTGCTGGTCCGCGCTGGGTCTACTTTTGAAGTTGATTCCCAAACGTTCGAGCGTCCTGATGTTCGTCTTTCGCTGAAGGTCGTTGGCCTTCACATAGACCTCCGGGAGGAATGTCACGGCTGGTTGAGGTTCTTCTCGTGCTTCTGCGATCGAAGGATTCGCCATGTTTCCGGAGCAGCATGAAGCATCCTGACTCGTAGTTTTCCTCCAGCGAAAATTCTGAAATTCATAATTATAAATAATGACTCAATCATCTCTTCTACACTCTGTTTTATGTTAAGATTGACAGTATCGAACTCCATACGATCCGACGGAGTCAATCAAACAGCGCGAAAAGCGCATCGTCAATGCGATCGTCACCTTTTTGCGATACGAGACTTGTACTGTACTCGTTGCAATAGTCAAATTGCCTGTAAGAGATTGTTTTTCGGAGAAACGTCTGTAATCATTTAAAGCACATTGATTAACGAAGAGTCACAAGAGTAATTTGATTTAAAACCTGGGATTGAGCTAGTTGGTTCATTTAAATTGGTTTTGTTGGTTAAAAAAAAAACGTGGTCGAGGACGAAACCCATAGCGCCAGCCCGTGTAGTATCTGTCTCTCCGTCGTCTGTGTTCTTTGCAGTTTTGAGTTTTCTAGGTCGAAATTTGATCACTTTTAGAAGTACTAACATCATTCTTCTAACCATTAATATTTCTTCTCCCCCCTTTTTAATGCACAATTTGTTTCTTCAAGTTTGTAACGAACATATCTTCGAATGAAATCTCCGACCGGAAGATGTTTTACCAACATTGGTGAATTATGAATGCAACTACCTTATTGAAAATAACACTTCAGTCTTGATGCTTAAGAGGGCCCTCTTAACCCTTCAAACACTTTCAGCCCATCAAACCCCCTCAGCCCTTTAAACCACTTAGCCCTTCAAATTCCTTCATCCCTTTCAGCACTTCAGACCTTTGAGCCTCTCAGAACCCCTCAGCTCTTCAACCATTTAGACACCCAATTGACTGTGAAACATAAACCAAAAATTCAGTTTAAAAATTATTAAATTTTTTTCCAGACACCGAGTTTTACATGAACGTTGTAACTGAAAACACGGTAAGAAACAACGTCTACTCAACCCCGGAAGCAAGCAGCTGTAGACAAAATCCACCACACCAACTAAGGACAACGTACCGTGTTCATTGCCGCAAAAAAAAATATATCTTTCAAGGTACTGCCATGCCGCTGGGTAAATTCCTGAGACGTACGGTAGTTTCGAGTAATAAAACCGATCATCTGCCTCAAATGCACGCCTACACGTTGTCAGTAGCACGTTTAGAGAAAAGCACGAATGTGCAACTAGCATCCGCCAGCGTTGAGCAATCATGATCTTAGTCACGGTGACATCACTGATGTCGTTGCTGCGGCGTCTCCAGCGTCTTCTCTGCTCGCTGGATGCTTTTGAACCCGGATGGATGAAGAAGCGTGAAAAGCAGGCCGCTGAGGGACCTTGTTGATAGCACACCCAGCTGCTTTAGAAATAGATCCCATGGACGGAACGGGAAGCCTACACTGAGCGTTCGTTCGTTCTTGCGCAATTAATTTACTCCCGTTGACGGAGAAAAACAGGGATATCTGTTCCTGATGAAGCATGTATAACGACTAAAAACAGGTTATCTCGAAACAAACATCAAAAATTCCCCTGCCCATTTTCCCTACCCACCCTCTCTCAGTCGTGAGCGAGTACCTGGCGTTCTTGGGCATTCCTTGTCCTGCCCGTGAACACATAAACCGAACACACAGACACAAAACTTTCGCCACGTTAACCAAAGCCGCGATAGAATATTGACGGAGGAATGTCTCATTTTCCGACATTTGTTACGGCCGTCCGATACAAAATGCACAAGTGACTTCTCCGACGGGTACATATATTGAAGGGGCATACGATCTCTCCCACAGAACCATTAAAACGATTTTGATGGGTGCTTTGGTTCACAGAAAGCTTTCGGACAGACCCCACAGGCCTTTCAAAAAACTATCACGGGTCTCTTACACCCTTTATAAATACTTGAAGGGTACACAGGCCTTTTACTAAACTTCGACGAACATCTCAAATCCCATAAACATTTTTGTAGAGTAGTACAAAACATTTCATAAATCCTGGTAGGCCCCAAGCCTGCTTTTCAGAAGGATAGTTTCTAATTTGGTGGCCTCAATCTAAAAATGGACAGTATGAAAAACCAGCCTTCAAGCCGAAAGAAGATCTGTCGTTCTCAATACCTGAAGTACTTGGAAAAGTAACGATTACTTTCTTGAGGAACGGCCAACTAATTTGCTTCTCAAATAATCGAGTAATCTAACGGAAATCTTTTAAGAAATTGTAATTGTATTGGACTTTTTTTTCAAGAAATCAGTACAAGAGAACACTAAATCACTGACATCCAACGAAACGCTATTACAATTACTTTTTTAGCAAAATACTAATTGTAATTGATTACTTCTTCGACTAACGCGTAAACGACTCTAGCTCATTCACTGACAGCTGAACACACGCGGGATGTGACTTTTTATATTCATGCTTCCCGCATCGCGATTGTTTCTTCGGGATACTTGTCGCCAAAAGTCTCAGTCTCGTCGGCTGCAGTGTGATTGTAAGATGTTCGGGCAAGTCACGTGCTAAGTTAATTTTTTAAGCTGCTAGTCACTATAATGTTTTTTTTTTCTTTCACTACCGCGCTAAGGTCCAGCAGGAGCCCCCACTGAAGTGACTTTTTCTAGAATCTCTGTTTATACTTCGAATAATCTTAAGTCCGGGTTTTACCGACGCTACGAGCGGGACCGATCAAGCAACGTAAAAACCGCAAAAACATGCTGTTCGTCGGGTTTCTGATCGTGTTCTATCATCGCTAAACCAGTTAAGTTTATAATAGGCCCAGTGACTTGCGTTTTAGCGCGGTTTCATTGGTCTCGTCAGCTCGTATCATCGGTTGCGTCCGGAGTTAGTTGAAATAAAGTTCAAATATAGGACAAATTGGGCCGTTTCGGAGATACAAAAAAAAAAAAAACAGATTGCATAGAACTGCGCACATCACTATCTTATTATCCATGCTCAGCATTACCTTTATGACGGACAAGTGCAGGTACAAAGTACAATTGTGAAGTGGCCTAAAGGGAGAACATGTTGCGCCTGTCCGTGGCGTGCAGCGAGTTGAGGGAGTTTGAGTCGTTCTTCGGACTCCGGCAAATTCCCAATACTCCGGGCCAAGACGGCAGTCGCGATAATTCGCGGACGAAGGTCGTGAGCCGCGCAACCTGAGTCAGCTATGCACCTTTCCAAAAAATACTCGACCCCAGGGGCAACAGACCGTTTTCAAACCCAATCACTGAGTCTGAGGCTAGACTCTCACCGGCGTCCCTCCTAACACTAACAGAGTGGACTGTGATTTCAATTGGCGCAGCCTGCGTAGGCGCAGTTTCAAACGCTGCTGGCGGCTAAATTCTCGTCTTTTCCCGCTATATTTTGTGTTTCATGCTACATTTATTTTCTCGAGGACATTAAGAGAGCATTGTGCCACAATAAAAAAAAGCAAAAAAAAAACAAAAAACTGTAAACTATTTTTGTTGGGTACGCGCGCGACAGAACGAATGCGACTAGAATGAGTAGTCCTAGTTATTTTCTTTTTCTTACGATAAGTTTTCACTGCGCCGCGGGATTCACCGCATGTGCAACGACAAAGCGCTTTGCTGTCAAAAATAAATTGCAACAGAAGAGGGCCGAAAGGCATGCATTTTTCACGCTCACACATAGCGTGTTTAACGATGGACAGGACACGGACATACAATTGAGGAAGTGTTAACATTCGAACAATATATCGTACGTACCGCACGATGCAGCGTTATCCAAAAATAATTTATATGAGAAAGATCTCAAATAACACAGTCACAGTCGACGACAGTCACATCTTGACGATTGGACGGAATCCGACATGACTTCGTTTTGGGGAGAGCTTCCTTTTTTCACAACCGCACCAAGGCAAAGAAACAAACGCGACTCATCCGTTTCTCACCCCGACCCAGACAGCTATTTTTGAAGATGACTGAGGTTTCTACGCGGATTATCTCTAGGAGGGGGGAGAACAATGTTCGCAAAATCGCGTCGAGGGTCGTTCGATGTCCTCCACCTCCTTCGTTTCCCGTGAATGTTGAGCAGAAAAGCTTGAATGGCAGGCACTTACCAGCCTTATTTCTCACAATGAAAGATAACACAAAAAGGGTACGCAGCACGCATAAAAAAAAATTAAGTGGAAACTTTCAAGAGGGGCGAGAAAACGTCGAATGGAAAACCGCAAAAACGCAGGTAGAGAACCGCGCTGAGCGGGTCTTCACAGTCTCAGAGAGTGGCAGAAATTATCTAGCTGATAGAGGGCGCGAGATTCGCACCAGCCGCATCAGCTTCAGCAACAGGGCGGCGGCCTAGGAGCGTTTTTTGGAAAGGTTTATAGCGCCTAGACTTCAGAAGTTTCCAACTGCTCGCTCGAGGTCCCGTTTTGACTGGTACCCTCTCCTCTGACCCTCTCCCAAACGGCCGAAGTGGCCGCCAGAGGCGTTTGACTCCGTCCACATGACGATGACGACTGTGGGAACAAGGACAAGGCTCACCATCATCAACGGCTCCCTGGAACTCATCACCAGAAAATTTATGAAGCCTTTTTTTGACAATTACGCTCTGGGCGTGACGGACACGAATGCAGCCGCGAAGCTTACTAAGTCGGAACCCGTGTGCCGCAAAGTGTTCAAGTTTTGGTACCATCTGGCGCCTACATCTTGACAGCGGAAATTCCCGAACTAAATGTCTGCCCTGCACGTAAATTTGTATTCCTAGTATCTCTTTTAATGCGGAATATGCGCCGGGAGTGCCTTTTCAAAAACCGCACGTGAACGGCAGTTCCAAAGACGCAATTTGCATAGCATCAGCAACACTCCGAAGCTGGCGTTCATAGATGGTTCCCTGATGTCTGCATTGACTCGTGGGTGGATGTAACGTAAACTACCTTTTTTTGGTGGGTTCGATATTTTCCGAAGGATGGGTTTGGAAGTATTTCGTGGGCATGAACTTTCGCGAGAGATGTATACACTTTAATTAAAATTTCGAAAATTGTGTCCCCGCAAATATTATATCGTTTACAGTACAACCA